AATTATTCTGGTATTATTCAAAACCTGTATTTCCCCAAACGTATATATAAAGCATACCACATAGAACAAGAAACTGTTAGCATGCGTTTTTGGAGGTCATTTTTGTACTTCAGGAATCTGAACTTCAACTAAAAAATGGGATCCCTTTATATTGTGATAAAAATGTACTCGAATGTTTTATAACATTAATATTTATTGCTTTATATGAATACTGTATTGAAAGCCCAAGCATTCAGTTTACACACAGAAATTATACAATTATATACCGTTTCACAATGGCAGTGAGCACTCATTACAATCTACAAAAATCTACTTTACAGAAATTTAAAAACTCTAAATATCAAAAAGATACAGTTGAAGAAACAGGTATAAATTTGGCAGCCAGTAATTGTGATTGGGAGGTTGCAGTTTGCATGTCTTTAAATATGGGAATTTGAAAACATTGTGAGTTTAAAGCAGTAGTTGTGCTTTGAGCTGGCTTGAAAAAAAAAAATGTAACACTGGCTGTCAAAGTAGCATGTTCAAAAATATTTAGTTCACTTCCAAAATGTTATACAAATTATGGTGATTTCTATGCACCCCTAAAACGTTTAGTCATTTAGCTCAGGTACATAACTAAGGTAATATATTAATTCTTCCAATACAGTGGTGTATCATACCAATAACATTTGCCTACATTAGAATTTTGAAAAACTCCTCTGTAATATTCACAATGCTCTGAGAAGCATTCAAAAGGCAAGTAGCTGTCCAATTTTTCTGAGATATTATTAGATTTGCAAACATTCCACCTACAAAAGTTTAAGATCAAGTTTTGATTACTCCGTCCTCCACATAAAGCACATTTTCTCATAAATAAATGAAATCCTTTCACTCAGGCACCTCAGAAGTATATAAAAGTGTTGTAGTCTGAACAGGTTTCTTGGAATGTGTTTCACCTGGTGTTTCCAACAATGCTAAGATTTCCAGTGTTCCGTATGGGCCAGATTTTATTTGGTTTATTCAGAGGCAAAAAACTGCCTTGAGAGGTGAACTCAGTCTTTTCCAATAGAAAAAGTGTACATTGTATTCATCTTTTGTAGAAACAGAAAAATATAACATTTCCCCCCTTAGAATAGTGTGTGTGTGTGTGTGTGTGTGTGTGTGTGTGTATATATGTGTGTGTGTGTAAAGTAACATTTTAAACACACAATTTAAGGTTCCATAGTATGTAGTCAAATAAAAGTCTGGAAACCAGCATGAAACCCTATAATTCACATGTTAATGTTGAAACTGTAACCAAAATATGTAATAACTGCTATAGCTGTCAGAGAAAGACAAGACAAAAAGCTTTCTTGCGTACATATAACTAAATGTGGTAATCTCCAAAAAGGTTGTCAAAATTATAATTATTACCTTCCAGTTTAAAAACTTTTATTCTAAATAAAAAAAACTATACACAAACCACTGATTTGACCAAACCAAAAAGTCAGCGGTAAGCAGGACCTGAAGGAGCTGGTATTCACAGTTCTTAACATGTACGACTCTTTCAGGGTTCGATCCATGGAGAAGTTTATTTTACAACCTGCTTCTCTTGTAAAACTAAAGGTCCACTTTATTACATAAAATTATTTATACAGTGTAAAACCAGAGCCTTATGGAAAATACTGCATCTAAGTGTATTTAAATTATTAGTCTTGCTCCATAGGTTCTTCTGCAGCTTCTGTGGCTTCATCACTGTTTTCCATAGGGGTCTCTGATGAAGTTTCAGGAGTTTCACTGGCATATGATCCTAATTCTTCAGTTTCACTGCAGTCAGCTCCCCTAATGACAGATCCACTATTTTCACTGTCTTCAGAACATAAAACCTTCTCTGCTTGAGACTGGTCAGATTCCTCCATTTGATTATTCTCCTCAGAGATCTCTTCATTCACAGTTAAGGATTCAGTGTCTTTTTCTTGATCTTTTCTTTCTGGAGAAACATCTCTTGGGGACATGAAGGACTCTGAAAGCATTTAATTCATGACTTAGTATTAACAGTACATTCTTTTTAAACAAGTCAACAAGAGTATTAAGTTAGTTTGAATACCCAAACATTTACACTAGGAAACTGATTTATTTAGAATATAAAAATGCATTCATCTAATTTTCCTCTATAGAAAAGTGCGTTGATGTAAATTTTAAACTCTGAACCACCTTAAAAATACTTAAGTTACTAACTTCCACAACACCATATTATCTACAGTATTTACAATATAAACATGTAGTCTGACACCATTAAACCTTGTGACTTTATACAGAGAAGCTTTTAAGCGATGAATGGGCTTTTCTTACTTCCCCACATTCCCATATCTTTTCCCAAGAGTAGCCAGTCTTCTTGATATGAGTTGCGAGAACAAAATTGTTTTGAACACAATGTGGACATCAAAATTCCACCCAGCAGGATATTTTACAAACTACATTGTGAACCTTGAATGTAGGGAATCAGAAAGGGAGAGGGGAAGAATCTGCAGATACAAATTCATGCCAGCCTCTTCTAGATATAATATGTATTTGTTTACTCTGCACTAGTGCCAGCTTCAGGGCCCTCTGGACAGTACTCAGCATTACAACTCACAAGGCTGTTAGGTTTTTGACTTGCTACCCTGGCACTGTTTGAGAGAGTTACAAATTGCTGTGTGATGCTCAGCTTCAAGGACAAGCATCACCTTATGTTCACTTTGCTGTAATTTAGGAATAACACTGACTGTCAAGTGTAGTCCCCACCCCAATCAGGCGTCCTCAAGAGAAGGAAGGTCCCAAAGTAGATCTAGATACAACCTAGAGGATTCCCTGTCCCTAGGGAAACATTACACATATATCGATAAATCTGAAATACCTTCTTCCTCTTCCTCTGTACAATGCTGTCTGGTACAGCTAGTATCTTTTTCTTTATCCTGAGGTGTAGAAGATGTTTCAGTCTCTTCTGCCATGACTGAAGAGACTTCACTGGAGGCAGTTTGGTTAGATGTCTCTCTTGCTTCCGCTTCTTTGTCAAATTTAAGTCTTTTTACCTCATGTCCCTCTGCTTCCACAGGGTCATCTTCAGGGTGCTTATTTTTTACAGGGCTGCCTTGAGTACCTTCTGATTCAGATGCTGGTGATTCACTGTAAGACCCAAAGAAACCATGTGTGAGTACCAAAAAACATTCCACATCTTCCCTCATTTCTTATACTGCTTATCTGAGACCAACATTATTTGCAAGGTATTCTCCAGGAGAGATCCTACACTGTAGAACTCAATCTGCTCATTATTGGCTAACGCCCAGATTTATTAAATTTTCAGGCATGAGGTAAAGACCACTCTTTTTTCCAGCATTTGGGAAGGAGCTGCATAATTGGGCTGATATATGGTGGGTCTGGATTATGGTTTATTATAATTTGAGGAAAGGGAGATCTATAAGTAACAAGCATTTATGATTTTAAATGTACTGGTTTTAGCGTACCATCCTGGCAGTAGTTAAATGTGGAAACTTAGGGATCCCCTCTTAACTCAACATTACTCATTTTTCAGTCACACTTTTTTACTAGATATCCACACAATCAGAAAAGAGCTGGACTACTATAAATGTATAAAAACCTCAGCAGATAAAGCTGAGGAACTTCTTCAACTAGACAATTCTATTGAAGAGAGTCACAGTCCAATACAAATCTTCACTTTGCATATATCAGGTCAATAAATAAAAAGTAGCAAGTACATATCTAATACAGCTGAGTATTTACCACAATACTTTTGAAATGTCTTACTGAATAACTAATCCTTACCAAAAGGGACATTTTACTTTAAAAGTATTTACAATATTGTAAATGTGAAGCATGAGAATAATGAAATATTCAATATGTATTACTCCGCCCAAACCTGTGGTTTTTTTCTTCCTTTTGCTGCAAGTTTGATTCTTTATTGTCCGTGCTGTCAGGCAAACCGTTTGTTGTCATAGGAGTTGACAAGGAAACCTTCGGTCGATTTACTGGTCTGGGAGTTCCAGGACCATTTATATTAGATCTAAAAAAAATACAATTCATTTTTTAATCCTTTTTGATTAAACAATTAAAATATACTCTAGATTCAGAAATCCTGGAAAAGGAACATGCTAGAATATTTTAATTTTCAAAGCTGAGTTATTTAGCCCAAAATCCAACATACATCCTATCATGCAAATCAGTAAAATTCACCTGTATATGAACTGGATTAAAAATGATTTTAAAGCATTAGTGGCATTCTGTAATACACTACTATGGCAGGGTGTCTGGGCCAGGTGCTTCCAAAACCATAAGATTTCTTCATCCTATCACACCCCCACCCAAGCACATGTTGCCTCTTGAAATTGCTCAACTTACCTCTCTGAATAACCTGGTGAGTTTCCTGGAAACATAACACCATTCATCCTGTTTAAACTATTGGAATTATTTTTCCTACAAGAAATCAAAAATATTATACTTAGCAATTTAAAGGTTCCTTAGTTCACAGAAGGAGATTTAAAAAAAAAAAATCTTCTTGGTTAAAAGTAATTAGAGATTACTAGATTTGAATAATATATTCCTATACACTGGGTTTATTTTTACAACCAAATTGACTTCAATATCCATTAAGTGATTAAGTGCACTGTCATTTGCCTTTGCTCCTTATACCCCGAATATCTTCCTTGACATCCTCTAATTTCCTTTAAATAATAAAATAAAAGGCATAATTTATCTTCAATGTGACTATACCCATATTTAAAGTGAAGCGCATGCATAAGTGTTTGCTGGATTGGGGCTTTAGATTTTAAACTCTGCGGGCAGGAACCGTGTCTACTGGCTATGTAAAATGTCATGCGTGACTATGGGATAGATGCAAAGGATAAAACCATCACCACATTAAGCCTTCATTAAAGGTCAGTTTCCCCATTACACCACACCCTTTGGAGGACAATACTCTCCACACAGAATAGATTCTGATCCAGCAAGAATGCCTTCAGATCCTACGCTCTCTGATCCCACTCAACATCCTTCAGGTTCTGACATGTGATGAGTGGGGTTTTCACATGCCTGTGTGACATGTGCCATCCTTAACTGTTATGACAGGGCACAGTACTGTCATTTTTATACTTAGTCCTGCCTCACTGCAGGGGACTGGACTACATGACCTAGTTCTACATTTCTATGATTCTACAGCCTCATCTTAAGATAATAGCATTGCAAGAGCTTGTTTCTGTGCTTTACCTACATTCTTCAAATTAGTATGGTGACGGGGGGGCTTCTCGTAGTTGGGAAAGTAGCTTTTGCAGGCCCAGGAAGACAGACTGAGGTAGAAGATAATTTGGCGCTTCCTCTTCTAGACAACTCAACTGGCCTTACAGCCACTTTTCTGAAGTCTGTTTTTCCTCTTTCATACAACTGTAGATTTTTTTTAATTACTCCCTTTCACTGCCCCGTCATTGTCTCCAGATCCTGTACTTTGCTTTGCAATCTTTCAGGCACTCACACTTAATCTAGTTTTATCTAAATAGATGGAACAGCACAAGATGTCATAGGAGCACTAAACTGCCTACTGTAGGACAACCCTGCTAGTAGTGGGATGGGTGATATGGGAATCCTCTCTTGAAACGAGTTGTGGAAGGCAGGAATCTATATTCCCTTGGGTTCAGTTCCAATGAGATTCTAATCTCTGAACCTTTCACTTTTGCGTCAATGTTTGTTTTTTAAAAGACCCAAACTAACCCCATCTTTGTGCCCCCACTAAGCATCACTTTGTATGCCAAGTTGCTGTTCAGAGCGTATTTTTGCAGAAGGAATTAATTTCTGAAGAGGAAAAGAGTTTATTACAAAGACTGACAAAACATTAGTATAAGCGTGGGGCTGATGCAATTCTAATCCAGGCATTGTTTAATGCACTCATGTATGGTTTTGAATTAATAATAAACCGTGCTGTAAATTTTGGCTCAGAAGCTTGTTTTTCATCCCAAAGTTACCACACAGGTAGACCAGCAAGCAGTATATGTCTGCAGGACATCACCTCTTTTGCCACACAACGTTTGTGAGATTTTGAAGGGCATTTGTTTAACCCATTGACATGGAAGTTGAATTTTTGAAGTGCATGTCTTATTGTTGGCAAGAGGATACACCATTATTGCCAGCAACAAGGAGAACACAAACAAAAAACCACCCCTCCTAATATAATCCCAAATCTTTAAGTAGTTGAAAGTAAATTTATGCTTACTCTGAAGATGGGTATACACAGCTGACAACCATGACATTCTGTAATATAAAAAAATGTAGTGAGAGTTTAGAAGCAGAAAAATGAAACATTTCTGATCCTGACAGAACTTGTAAACTTGAAGATTAACACATGACAGCTGGATTTAAAAAATTCTAGCTGATAAAAGTAATATTCTCTACAGAACTTTAAGTTAGCTTATTCTGAAGTCAAATACAACCTTGGAAGTAATTTTTATCTCCTAAAATCCTCAGTGATAAAGGTGCTTTGCTACTGTGAAGACTACAAACCAAACAAGACTTCCACCACACTGCAATTTTCAATATGCTGCAGTAGAGGTCAACGCAATTTAAGCCACATTTTGGTGAGGTTTGTAACTTAAGATGTTTTGATTACATTAAACTGATACTTCACATGGAACTGTGAAAATCCCAAGCTGCTGCCAGTGCTCTTCAACAGCGGTAGGTGTAGCAAAGCTATAATAGTTTTTACCCTATGTCATGTAATCACCAGCTGTTGGTTTATACTAGTACTCCCATCAGTCCTAGCCCAGGCAGGGCTTCACTAGTGCTACAGCAACAGTGAGAATTTCAGAAAAAACCTTAGTGTGAAAAAGGTATAAGACCTTTTATTTTATTTCAGAAAAATGGCTGATTATTGTTTGAAAGATAGCTCATGCATATACAAGATGACTATGCCAATGCAGTTTTTAGTGTGCATTATAAGAATCATACAACAGGGATTTCTGAATTAGCAATTAAAGATAACATGCAATGTTATATACTCCAGTATGCGTGTTGGTTGGTTGCTACTAATTACAGCACAAAACATGGTCCAACAACATGAACCTTTTTCGACACAACATCAACACAGATAGAAAACTAATCAGTGCTTTCTGCTAACAAAGATGTCAAACTACCAGAGGATTCAAGGTATGTGTCAGACTGCTCGATCCCCCATGATAAAAATCAGACTGTAAAATACACACTTTAAAAAAATATATATATCTATATCAAGGCCAAGATTTTCAAATTTGAGTGCCTAAGTCTGTAACTCTTACAATTTCAAGTACCTTCTGAACGTGAACACAGTAGCACTGTCTTAGCCTGAAACAACTCTTAAGGGTGCTCTATTCATTTCAATGGGGTTTTAGTTTTAGATATCAGTGATCAAGAGCCACATTTTCTAATATCGTATTACTGCAGTTGTACACACAATTCTGGTAATTGCATGCACAAAGGGCAGAAAGAGTGGTGCAGCTAAAGAAATGCATATTTTTTCCTCTCACTGCTGAACACTTTACTAGATAAAAATTTGGTTACTAGATGAGGGCTATAATCTACCCTGAAACCAGCCACAAGCATCAGTGGCAGATCCACTATAGATCAGCAGCACTATGGGGCCCTAATTTGCAATCAATGACTTACACATGCCCTAAATGTAACTGGGCCCTCCCAGGAGAACAACAATTTGACATCAATTCTGGAAGTAGTACTGCATGCTTTTGGAAAACTCTATATAAATACTACAAAACAAGTTCTGTATGCACTTCATGAGGGTTTTACTGTGCTAAAAAAAGTAAAGAGATCTGAAAAACAAAAGCTAAAGGAGAGATTTTTGAGTTTGGTTCAAACCCACAAAGCGAGGAAGGAAGAACTGCCCAGACCTGGTAACTTACATGGCCGCACCCATTGCATATGGCTCAGTTATTTAGTGGTGGGGGCTCAGAACAGTGAGCGATATTAAATCCTATATATTGCAATATTGGAGCACTACAAACTGATTAACAGAGACAGCCTTAATCCTGGAATTTATTTGCTTTTGGGTCAAAAACATTTTAGAATAGCTTTTTGCAGTTATCTTTTTAAAAAAATAACCAAATTGGAGTTGCTATTATAGCCATAATGAAGCCAATAAAACGTTGGGTGTCATTTAAATATGATATAGTGGGTAGTTACAATTTAGTTCCAATGCCTCTGAAAGGAAGACATACCTTTTCCACTCCTCTAAGAAACTTGTCTGTTCCTGTATAGTTCCTCCTTGGATCGGTCAGCAACTCACAAAGTCGCTGAATAGTAAAGGGGATACTGCAATGAAATACATATAGAACAATGTAAATGGTACTTAATGGGTAAAAGGCTGCTAGGAAGCAACGGCATTATTGCTCTCCCCACAGGCTGAAAAGGTTTAAACAGAGGAAGTAGAATTTGACTGCAAGAGCTTATAGTAAATGGATAGATGGTTTCCTCTGCACTTGGAGGTAGGGGTATAAATCCCAGATCATGTCGACATAATCTCATTAGTTCTCATTGAGCTAGCATGCTAAAAATGGTAGTGCAGCCATAGTAGCATGGGCAGCCGTGGCATGGGGTAGCTGCCCCGAGTATGCACACGCTGTGGATACGTACTTGGGGTAGGTAGCCCATGTCACTGCTTGCCGCTTCCTATGCTACTGCATCTACACTACCATTTTTAGCAAGTAGCTCAATTAGTAGTGCAATTATGTCTATGCAAGCTGGGAATCACACTCTTAGCTCCAACTGCAGACATAGCTTTAATCTCTGATTTACATTTCTCATTTTGCATAAACACTTAGGAAACACAGCACACGCTTTTGGGCAATACATCCTCCACCAAAAACTAACTAAAACCCAAAAGACATCATTCCAAAAAAATCACAATTCACTAAGCACACTGTATTCAATAATTAAGTTACATGTAGATTTCAATTCAAGAAATCAAAATCAGTCACAGTTTAAGATTACTTTTATTGGGTAAATTATGAGGGTAACAAAATATGTGAAACAGCAACAGTAAAAAATGCTTTAACATAATTAAAGATTCACACTTCTACACCTGGCAAAAATAAGTGATTCTCAAGACCTATTTTGATTTTACAGTTTATAGGAAATGCATTAAATTTTGTAAATAGTACAGCCAGTTAATAATAGTTCAGAAAAATATGGTATCTACATGTTCAGCTCTGCTGATATATACAAATAAAACAAAACAAGTATGATTAGTTTTTCTGCTGCATTGAAATAGGACAGGGCTATATACCCATATAATATTTTGTTCATACAATCTGTCCTCTGTCTAGCAATTTAGTAATTGATTTCACACAAACACTAGCAAGATCAACTGAAAATTTTCATTTTAGCAACGCATAACATGATCAAATATTTAAGTTTAGCTGATCTTACATGCACTTCCCGTAGCAATATTTATTAATATACATTTACAGTAAATCTATTTTGTAACAAAATAATCAGCATCTATCAAAACTTTGTGATTTATGGTACAGGAATGCAATACTGCTTTTTAAGCATTCTAACTGAATTTGTCTGAGCTTGAAGTCATTACACTTGGAACACAAAGTGCTTAGTACAATGTGAAGAATAAGACATATATATTAGATATGTAGGAAATTTTAAAAAAATTACACCAAAACAGTTTATACGCAACACGATTCCATTCCTGCAGAGAATGGTTACAACTGTGTTACTCAGAAATTAGACTACTAATTGTTATAAAAAAATATAAACGAATCGAGTTTGCAATGGGTAAGTCACTCAACAAGCTAGAAGAGCATATTTTATGCCTACTTCATTAAATAAAAAACGGATCTTGTTCAAACATACACTGAACTGATTTTTCACCAAGAATATGCCATCTTAGTCAGGAGGAACCATTTTCAACCAGTGAGTGGTTACTGGCATTAATTCTATTGGAAAGCCCTTAAGTGCCAATGTTTTTCCTATAAACAAACAGAAATTGTACCAGACTAAATATCACGCATTTTAATGTGTTTTGCAGATTCTACCATGTGTTATGGTACAGTGGAAGGTATATAAACCATAATCTGAAACAACTAAGAGGTATG